ATTCGTGCTCTTTTAATTTATAACAATGTATAACAGGGAAAATCTTTACTCCTTTAAATGCTCAAGGTCGAGTATTTTTTCCAATCATTAAAAGTTTTCACTTGTGCATTTCTGTAGCATTTGAGCATGGTAAATTTTTTAGTCTTGCTCTGAAATCTTTGACACCTGTTGAAGCCTCTTCTGTAGAGGTTCCCAACGTATTCACAAGTACATATTGTCAGAAAAGATCAGTTTTATCAGCATTGTAAATATGTTCGGGAGATAACTTTTTACTATTGATAAGTTCAACGAGTTCATCTACAAATATTTCAGCAGCTTCAGTATCAGCTGAAGCTTTTTTTAATTGAAATTCTTGCGTTACACAATGGTGATTTTTTTTTTTTTTTAAATTTGGTTAACCAACATGTCGAATATGTGCACTCAGGTTTTTAATTTAATTTCTTTGTGAAATATTTTGGCTTGCGCCATTAGCATTTCACCTGTCAATGGCACGCTCTCACTGCGACGCTATCTGACCTATTCAATCATCACTTTGTCATGGTCGTCACTTTTAGCATAACGAATAATTTTTCTGTTAGACATTGTGAGAGGGGTGTCAGAATTCTCAAAAAATTCCCTTTTCTGTTTTCTTATATCATCATACTCCTCACATAATTTTGAAAAAAAGACGGGTGTACTTTTATCAATTTTTTGCAGCAATTCCACTTTTTAATAGACATTGAAACATGCTTTCGCTTTGTAGCTGCAAAATTAGAAACTCTTTTCGACATAATCAAAAGTTCAAACTTTAATTTTCATAAAATTGCTGTAATAATAAAGCCCGCAAAAAAAGCTGAATCAAATAAGAAAGTTAAGCGGAATCTGCTATAGTAGCTGCAATTCCTTAGAATCAGTAAATTATAATTTTAACCTGGCATCCGCTATACATAACTGGCTATGTATCATGAAATTGGCAGTGAAAGGCACTTCTATCTCGCACTGAGACAAATTAAGCCTGAATTCTATTAGTTTAGTTATTTATTATACTTACATCTATTTCTTGCGCATGCTTAATAGACCTATTTGAATCCTGAATGAATAAATTCCCACATATATTTAAGGCTTATTGAAGGCCATTGGTAGATATACCTTAAGATCTTACCACCTTATGGAGTCTGTGGACCCTAAATTTTGCTACTAAGTGCCTCCCTAAGTTCTAAATTTTTGCTGCTCCTAAACTTTGAGTCCTAATGCTTTCCCTTAATTCTAAACATTTTGTCATCTCTTAATTTCATTGTTCGATGCTTCTCTAAATTCCAAAAATTTTGTCTTCACTAAATTCTGTCGCACAGAGCAGGCATACAAGCTTTGTCACCGATTCTCGGTTTATGTGAATAGCAAATAGCACTAAATGTGATCTTTTGACCTATAAGTATCATTAATAAAATCTTTTTTTTTTTTTTTTTTTTTTTTTTTTTTTAGCAAATGGAAAGACATTTTTGTTACATTTTCCTTAGCCAACACTTCTTAGTGCACTTAACTTAAATCTGTAATCACTAGCAAGCATAATGTCAACATAAAAAGTTACCACACTCTTTGTTATTCAATTACTAATATAAAAAATATTTAGGTATCGTGACATGAATTATTACTCAAGTTATCACCAGGGTTGCCACTCAAACAGGAGAATGGAATTCTCTGACTTTTCCAGGTTTTCCAGGTATGTTTCGAGAAAATTCCAGTCTATCCGCGTAATGTACGTTGGCTGTGCTAAGAGGTAAATTAATTATGGTATTACTTGTACTGTGTAGCAAATTCACTTAATTATTCAATAAATCTCAGAGGACATTTATTCTTAATTATTCTTGGTACACTTTGTTTGATAATTTTGTTTACTTTTCCACTTAAGAAACTTAATAAAATTTAAGATATATACATTGGATAACAATTGTACGTTTTATTTAATTATTACTCATGATCATCACCAGTTCAACATGAGGCTAATCCGGTTCTTATAAATCACAACGCAATGCTAAAAGTTAGGTTAGATTTTAGGTAGGTAAATTTAATTTGTGTGAGGTGTCTTCTTAAAAGGCACCTTAACACTTGAAAACACAAATATAATTATAATAGGAGTTGTTTCCTCCACTGAAGATTGAGATTAGAATCTTCCCAATCTGGAATAAAATAAGGCTTTTTTTGCAGACATTCTGCAGCTAAACGAAAGAAAGAAATCTATTTAATGATATTTTTTTACTAAATTGAGGTACTTTATATTTATTTCGCAGCATACATTAGGAAAAAATATGTGCATTAAATTTCGTGATGTCATCATACTGCTAGAATTAATTTCAGGATTATGCCAGAGAAAATTTCTTGAAATTTGGAAATATTATTTACTAATGATAAATAAATTTAGAGGGAAGAAGCAACATTAAATGAAATGAATAACATAAAAATAAAGATTAAAAATTGAATTAGAATAATCAACGATATTTTAGCGAATATAGTTATATTACATGGTTAGGCTAGATGACTGATTACTATTTTTTTATTTTACTGCAAAATGACAAGGTATTTATTAAAAAGAAAAGAAAAAAAAAAGATTTTGCGGTAAAATCCTAGTATACGGTACGGCCTTCGCACGATTTTGAAAATTGTCGCCAAGAACAAAATGACTCGTTTACTGCTCATCATCATGTCGCCAAATCCCGCTGTACCATACATGGAGATTATTCTAACCAAAGAACGTATATGTAAAGAAGAAAAGGTTCCATACACGTAAATGATATTACGCGGCTAGAAAGCGGAGGGAAAATTTGCCAAGGGATTTGGCAACGGAACCTGGAGGCCAGAATTTCCCTCTCCGCGATGTGTACAGGAAATTGAGAAACACATGTTAAGAAGAAACGTTCTTTGACAAAAAAGAAAACTACGAAAATCCATTTTTAAATTATTGCGAAAAATCCTAGAAGAAACGTTTTATCAAAGAACGTTTTTTCTTGGATTTTTCGCAATAATTTTACGGATTTTCGTAGTTTTTTTTCCCCCCCTCAAAATAACTAATCCATGAATTAATTTACTTGCGCTAAAAGATATTTTCTTTTCTTTTAGATTAGAGTTTAAAGAAATTTTAAACGATATTCATTTTATGAATTCTTGATAACGTGACCTTCGAACTTCGACACCGGTTTCGAGCTTTGGCGACATATATATCGCGCACGCACAGTTGTTTCTCTCTATGATGGAACGGAGCCACGTCTGTTGCAGAGAGGTTTTCTTTCTTTACAATACATATTTTTGATTCTAACCTTCATGGTACCGTATACTAGGAATAAACCCATTTTGTTTTATACGAGAACAGGTACTTTCTTTTGTTCATGCACTGCACATGGGATTCTCGAGGTTACTGGAAACCAAAAGTTGCGGGAAACTTGATTTGCCTTTCTAAAAGACAATCAAATTGGAGCTGCGAAAATTGACTCTATGCCAGCTGCCCGAATGACACTCACGTGATACACAATTCGCCAAAAAAGTGATCTCTTCCGACGTCGGCACAAAACTCGCCTTTTTTGGCGGGATCGTTGTATGAAATTCCCTGACTTTTCCAGATTTTGACTAAAACACTTAAATTCCCTGACTTTTCCCTGAATTTTTTGGTCAATTTCCGAATTCCCTGACTTTTTCCAGTTTTCCAGGTAGCGTGGCAACCCTGTATCACGTGCTGATAAGCATGCTGTGATGAAAGTAAAATATAATAAATCATGATTCGCCAGGTTGTCGTCAGGGATTATTAGCAGAGGTAAAATCAACTACTATTTACTACTAGTGCCGAAATGAAATTAAAGAGTCAGGACTCTTCACATGCTTTATTGTGGGGTGGAAAAAATTTTTAAAAATTATTTGAGTAAAGCATATCCCCAAAAAATGGTTGTTGGTGGCTTTGAGGTCCAGATTTTAGATTATATATCGGACAGATATTGGATGTCTGGATCTCGGACTTTGTATTGTTGTTTATTTTTTCATTACATTATTCATATATGCTTCATAAAATTATGCTAAAAAAGTGTTCAAGGTTTCTCAAACTGTTCTTTCACATCTTATAAAGTCCTTAAAATTATATCATAATTAACTATTTTTATTATGATTCGTGAATCTCTTTCTTACTTACATAATTTTTTTAGCCCTCTTACGTGTTTGGTGAAACATAAAAAAAAAAAATAACCTGAATTACCCAAATGAAACGTGAATAACATTTAAAGCAAACTGTAGAAATATCTAAATATCCTTACTTTTGATGTATGTGTCTAGTACTTAAAGGCACTTTAGCAAATTCATATGTAACCAAAAAATGGCAGGCACATGAAAGATATGTAAAGGTTCTCAAAACATTCTTTTGCAACAAACAGAAAAAATTGTGAAAGAGAAAAATAAAATTAGCATATTAATTGAAAATATAATCAAAGTAAAAAATAAGACTTTCAGTTCTGCTTATATTATATATGTAATGAATATTTTATGATACCATGAAAACCTTTTAATAAAAAAAAATAATAATCAGGTCTTTCCATTATTAATACTCACTGGTAAAATTTTCTGAACATAAGCAATACATGTTCAAGTTTAGTTATTTCTAATAAACATAGAATAACACATTTTAAAGACTTCTTACTGATATTTACTTACTTTGAAAACAAGAGGAGTGCTATAAAAAATAAGAACAAAATCATTTAATTTAAAAATACCAATAAGATTTGTTCAAGAAAAATCTAATAACATCTGCCCATAAAATCTGTCATCTAAGATCTGTTTAAATGGCTTACTATCTTTATTCTGGTATCTCACTTGAACTCATATGACAATTAAGCAATATATATGACTATTAATAACATGACTATTAAGTTGGCAAATATATTTGTCTACAGAAAACTGTTTGGTGTATGTAGTCCTATAATGGAGGGGGGAAAAAAAGATCAAAACAGTTGTCTTATCAACAAACACTCATAAAAGATTTTATTTACTTTAATAATTCTGTCTCCCTGTTGCACTCCAGCTCTTGCTGCAGCACCATCTGCAAAAGTGATAACAATACTGTCATTTAAATCAAAAAAATGTTTAAGACATTGTTTAAAGAATAGCCTTTTTCACTTTTTTGTATGAAATATATTTGAACACTTATTCATACCCACATGAACAAAGTTAGAAAATTATGCTGTTTTTATCTAGTAAGTAGTCACAGCATTATTTAGCCAAGCATACAAAATGCTTAAAAATTCCATACAGATACACTTTATAAAATTTCATATCCCATTAAAATGGAAAAATTACTGCATGATGAAATCTTCAACAAAACAAGCTAAACAAAACATTTTTAAAAACTTATTTCTGAATTGCTACAATACAGTGACTATTTGAAAAAGAAAAAAAAAAAAAAAAGATTAAAGGAAAGAGGGGGAATGTATTACATTAAGATAAATAACTGATCTGTCAACAATTATCAAAACACAAAATTCAAAATTTAAATATATCTTAATTAGAACATTTTATTTTTAAAAATTATACTTAATAATTACTTATTAATTTGAAAAGAAGCGTTTAAAGATCATTATGTAACTGAAAACCTCTTAATAGCCCGTAAAAAGACAATCAGAAAAGCATTTCACTCATTAACACATACTGTAACCCAATGCTTTCACATCAGCAGATAAACATTATAGATAAGACACTGATAGCCCACTAAACAATCATAAGATCTAACTCAGATAAATAATTCATCAATATGCTGAGAACTATCAGCAAATAATGTCAATTTTTTTCTATAGATGTTTCACTTAAAACAATAAAATTGTATTTTATGGCCAAGATGTTAAAAAACAGATAAGGATGGTAATCCTTGAATCCAACCACATACAACTAAAAATGGATTTTTTTTTTAAATAAATTATCAAATTCTCATAATGTAAGGTTCAAGAAAATAAATAATATAAAATTTAACTTCCTTTAATTCTGATTATAAAATTATCTGGAAACTGATAAAAAATGGAATTTAACTAATGAAGCACATTAATAAAACCAGTAAAATTTATAATATCAAAACAGCAGATGATGAACTCATAACCTTATTTTGAGATACTTCCTTAGTGTGCAACTGCTTAAAGGGTAGCATTAAATAGTGGTAGAATTGCAATTTTCAGAATTAAAAAAGGTGCATGACAAGACATTGCTGGTCATTAAAACTGCTACACCATGAAGATAGTATGCAACAAACATAAAATTTGCATGAAAAGTACTATATACGGGGATACATAAATGACTGTTATTCCAATGCATGTGCACAATACAGGTATGAGTCACAGCATCTTTACTGTGTATAAAATAGAAAGACAAACATAGCGGGTTCCTTATTTAAAAACTGCATTTTAACATTGGTACTTGTGAAAAGGTTGTATTATAACTCTGTAAAAATGAGAAACTCCTACCAAAATGTGTCAGAATTTCAGTGTAGCAGAATCGTAGCCTTCATGGCAGATCTTTGGTTTTATCATTCTGTGACACTGCTGGTCTTGCTGGTCAGGATCCCACACCTGTCAGGTGAATATGGAATTTATGGGCCATACTGAGGAGAGCCAAAATCAATACAACAGCTCTTGACAACTAATGCCCGAGAAAGACAGGCATGTTGCCCTCTCAGCCTTGCGGGATCACACAGCTAAATCATGTAACCTAAGACAGGAACCTGTCTCACATGCAAGACGACAAATGTCATTACAGATAATGTGATGACATCTGCAGCACCATGGACTGTCAGCTTGATGAACATTGTTGCAGCTTCCCTCAACACTGCACCGAAGACAGAAGATGCAGTGTTCATAGCCTCCAACCTGCAGCAGAACTTGTCAGTAGTCAACTTGCGAACGACATTTTACAACTTCGAAAATGCGTGCGTAAAGCATGTTGTAATTAACCATTCATTAATTTTTAATTAATCATAAATTGTAATCAATTTTTTTACATTTAAAATTTAAAATCCATACACATAAAACTGAATTATTAAAAATATACCTTGTAAATTATATGCACATTTAATTAGAAATTTCGAACTCCTCAAACATGTCTATCACTAAATCTACTATTATATGAAAAAGCAAATATTTTAAATCACTACTAATCATAGAGAATATCATATATCTTTATTCTGGATTTGATTTTCGCAGGGAAAAAAAAATAACCAACATAAAAGTATTAAAAAAATACTTATAATTTACAAATGCAAAGATTTATATGTAGCATGCTTAGCAAGCTTAAGTTCTGATTTTGAGAATGTTTTTTTATAACACAGTTCTTCATTTGCCTGCATATTTATTTTTTCAATCAATACTGCTTCGAGAGTTTTAAGACCTAAATTTGGTCGAAATTCCGTCCAATATTTTTTTTTTTTTTTTTTTTTTACAATAGAAAAAATTCTTTCGCAAGTTGCATTTGAATGAGGTATTATTAAGACAGCAAGCATTACAGTAGGCAATATTTTGTATATAATACATCCATTCATATTTTTTAATTTGGCAATTTCTCCCCATGCTATATCAATATGCAAATCTATAATTTCTTTCAAATCATCTACTTGATACATGGAAAATTCAATTTCTACTTGATTAAGATATTTTTTATCAATAATGTATGGAAATGTATTCATCAAATAAAGAACAGACGAAAATGAAATTTCAGTCCTCAAATTGATATCAGCAACTTCAGCATGTTTTAGAAATGGATCACTTAGTGGAAATTTACCTATTATATATGAACATGTAGTTACAAAAACAGCTAGCAGAGAATTAAAAAATTTTACTTCCCTTTCATTTAACTTGGCATTTCTTAAATATAGTCTCATTTCCCGCACCAATCACTAAATTTTCATTTTCTTTTTGTTTACTATACTTCTGAAATGGAAGAGATGTTAGAATAAAATCTTCATTTTCTTTAGAAATTATTGATGGTTTTACGAATTTAACAAATAAATTCATTAAAAGTTCAACAAGTTCTCTTCACAATTTATGCATATAAGGAGCTTGTTGTTGCAAATTATTATTTACCGTTATAAACAAAGGCAAAGTATTTTTCAAAAATAACAAGTACAATTTGGTGATAAGTGATTGTAACATTTCTTTAATGTTCTGCAATGTCTTTCCTTCATTCTCACTGTTATCTGGTTGATCTCCAAAAAAATTTATCACAGCATCTCACTGTTCCAAAATCCTTGTTATAGATTCTAAAAGAGACAACCATCTCGTACAGCAATATTTCAAAATTTTAAGAGATTTTGCATTCTGTCCCAAAATTTGTTGAGCAACTTTGAAGCTATGCTTCCATTTCGAACTTTTCTCCAAATAAAAATATATATCTATTAACAACATTTTGATTTCTGAGCTGATCAATTTTTCAGTAGCCTTTTTTGCAGCTATATGCAAGAGGTGGCATGGGCAACCTCAGATGATTATACTTGGTTGATGCATTTTGATAAACGATGCTACACCTTTAAACTTTCCAATCATATTACTAGCATTATCTGAAGAAAATGATAAGCAATTTTTTCCATTCTAAACCTTTGCTTTTAAAGTTTTCATTTATATAATTAAAAATACCTCCTCTGGTATTTTGCGCACTCTAAAATAGAAATCAATGATGTAATTAAACTCCCTTTTCTTTATAGTAATTAACTCCCTTTTCTTTATAGTAATATGTTATAATCAATGGATACAGTTTGTTATCAATACTTCCATCAATACTTAGAGAAAATGATGTATTGCACACTGATTTTATAATATCGGCAACAGTACTTTCTGCAAGTGTTTTCACAATAGCGGCAGTTTTAGTATGACCACAGGTAAATTTTTTGCTATGGCAGAATCTGGAAACATTGCTTTGAAAGCTCTTTGGAATTATCCGAAACAGAAAGCGGTAGATTGTGCTCAATTAAAAATCGAACACAATAGCATTTGGCTTCTATAGGACCTGTTTCGTGATCTTTTATTAAGAAATTCATTATTTCTTTAGATTTTACAGTGCCAAGTTCTTCTATATGCTTTTGAGAAAAAACATGCCGTTTACAGTCATCTTTTCCGCCATGTGCAACTGAGAAGTCTTTGTTGCATACACTGCAGTGTGCGTGATTCACAGAAATTTCGGATGCTTTAATGCATGGAAATTCTGAAGAATATGAATTTTTAAATTTTTGCTTTGAAAATTTTGGCTTTTTTGTTCGAGGTAGCATTATTAAAAAAAAACTTCCACCTGAATCCCAGTTCACAAGACACACGCTAAGCTCGCACCGTAATCCAAACAATGGAGCCGAAGGCAAGCTAAACACGTAGCAGCAAGGAACCTGAGAGACAGACACAGTAGACAGATGTTGCGGGATGTTGGAACTATTCACATGTCATTAATGGCTAGAGTTACGGATCTGGGTATGGGTGTTCTTCAAAACCAGCAACGCACTCAACACGTGATATATGATGACACGAGTATTCAGCCAATCATCGGATGAATTAGTTGGTTCCGTTTTGCGTACTGGTTCTCCTACTCTGTTTCTGTAAAATCCGTAGTTTTTTCCATACTTTTCGTAGCTCATAGTTTTTCATGAATTTCTGTAGAAACTACAGAGAATCCATAGTGGTTGGAATCTATAGCAGTGAAGTGAATGAGTATAGTATATTATAGTATAGTTTGTAGAGTATAGTAGTGAAGCAAATGATGAAGTAGATAGAGGAGTGGCACCACACTGCCTTTTCACACAAATTCTGGTTTTCTGCACAGCATCAGGAATGACACATCCATATGTGGAAACAATGAGAACAAAATATGGCCAACTTGTACTCAAAATTGTCAAACAGGCCCAACATCCACCATGCTGATATGATTTGCCATTAAATACAAATGCTGACCAACTCCTGTTTGTATACATAGTAATGTGGACAGCAGCCATTATATTTCTGGCATGTTAAGGACCATGGATGGGCTCTATCTCTGAGGCCTACGTGATCTTTCAACAAGATAATGCATGATTGCATGTTGCCCATGTTGTCCTGACCTTCCTTGATACAAAGTGTGCTGACTGTTGCCCTGGCTAGCCCATTCTCTAGATCTCTCACCCACTGAGAACATCTGATCACTGGGTGCTGAGAGACTGACCATCGCTCACTAGCTACTATGACTGATGAACTCTGGAGCAGAGTTGAAGCTGCATGGAATAAAATAACCATCTCTCTCATCCAAGCTCAGTTCGACTAGATACCCAGCTGAATTATAGCCAGTCTTGGTAATAGATGTAGCAGCTACATGCATTAAATTCTGTACAACTGCATACCTCATAACACCTACTAATTTAATCATGTCTTCCTCCTATTACACTGTATATGTACAATAAGTAAGATTCTGCTGTTTGCTTTCATTCCTAATGTAGCAATTTTATTGGTAACCATCTTTGAAAAAATAATTCTCCCTTTACATATCTTTACATATAAACACAGAAAATAAACTATATTATGTACATTGCAGAGAGAAATGTTAAAATACACAGTTTAAATTATCGATAAAAGCAATTGTATGCAGTTCTTAAGGCTTTTATTAAATATATACCATAAGTAATATCAATAAATTAATATTTTTACCTTCTTTGACAGATTGGACAAAAACAGGATTATCACCGGATACAGTAAGGCCGTATCCCTTCTCGTCTTTCTGTATGATCACACAACGTTGCACCATAAGGTCTGTAAAACACAGAAGTAAGTGTAAAAGTTTGAAAATATTACTATTTTGAAATTTTGAAATAATATTACATAAATATTATATAGAAAGGCTGACATAACAATATTATTAACTTATTAAAATCTGAATATAAGGAAAAAAAGTCGTGGACACTATCTGACCTCCCTGTATGCCTATTAAATTATACACATTTTTCATTACACTTCATTTAAACTTATTTCTTCCAATTATTCTAACTTAATTAACTGATTGCTCAATACAACTTGAAAATGATATAAAAAATTACAAATTTTGACATTAAATATCCCGGTAAATTTTTGTCATACAAGAGTCAAATTTCTCGTATTTTTATTTTTTCACAACGAGTATGCAACTTTTTCAAACATAAATACAGAAAGCCATATTATGTTATTTATCCAAAATTTATTTCTTTTAAAATTCGAAATTGCCAAAACATTGAATATTTTCGCCATTTGAAACTCTTCTGTAAATGGAAGTGTAAATATGCGACCAATGATTACAAAACTAAAGGCCGGGTAATGAGGTTGGGTATATATATTGTTAGGAATTCTGTACATAGATAATTTTAGTAAAATTATATGTGACATTGTTGTATTTTTTCATATAATGTAACATGAAAGGCTGAGAGAAAAGATTTTCTGCCAGAAAAATAAGAATACACGGGGAATACACATGGAGTAAATGGCTATCTCGCTAATTTGGAAAGATATCGTAAAGCTAGCAATGGGTTTGGCGACTAATTTTTGTCCCCAAAAGTCATCAAACTTGGCGACCATTTGACAACATTTTGGTCCAATCCCTGTATAACTGTAATTGATATTGTAACTGAGTAACCGTTACTGATGTTCTGTGTAACTGTATTCAGTTCTCATATGACTTCCAGTAATTTTGAGAAGCAGAAAGTATATCTCGACATCCACGTGAAAACTATATAATACCAAAAAGAATTGGAACACCTGCTCTTAATTGTTGTTAGATGTTAGTTCAGCACGAGTTCGGAGTACTCAAGATATATCCGGATCAGCTTCACTGTTTAGATGCACTTTCCATTGTGTTGTGTTTCATGTTCTTAGTTTGAAATGTAACTACTGATTGTACTCTGTGAGACTGTGAACAACTCTATGAGTATTTCTGTGGAAAGTTCCAGGGCTCTGAAGTATTTCTTTTGATAAAATTAATTTTATCAATCTATCATCGGACCTGTGCGCATTCAATCTATTATGAATCTATACACACGCAACAATTTTTGGTGTCAAAAGTGGGACTGAATGTCAGTGACAAGAACAATGGAGGAGCAACTAAGACAGCATGTGACTGTTCTACTGTATTCAAAGGAAAGATGGAAGGTGTTCTCAACTATATTACAGAGGAAATAAAAGCAGTTCAAGAAAGTATCGAAGCAGGCCAAGAAAGGATGGCAGGAACCATCAAGTCAGTTCAAGAAAAGAGGAAATGAAAGGAAAAATTACCTGCATAATAGAAAACAAATTCAAGGCTGCAGAAGGCCACGGTTACACGAGACACACGGTTAAAATCAGAGTTGAAGAAAATGAAAAAAAGAGTTTCTTCCGTTAAAGATCAAATCTAAGAGAATGTTTCTGCAGTCACCAAAGAAGTTGACACCTTAAACAAAATTCATAGCAACAGCAGGAAGCAATTTTGATGATTTTAAATTTTTACCCATGCCTTTTTATCCTTCTCTAAAGCTATCCACATATGATGGTAAAAAATCCTTGGCAACTGAAATTGACACAATTTTTTATAGTGGTGAAACTGAATGGATGGGATTCCTAAGCTAAGGCCTACCATCTCGCCACTTCTCTGAGAGCATATGCAGCAGATATCCTCCAGCTCCGCCCAAAAAACAGAGGTTAAGACTTCGAAGCTCTATCCGGCACATTAGAGCTGCATTTTGTAGAGAAGTGTTTAAAAGAATACAGCAGGCTTCAGTTAAAATCTTGCCAACCGCAGAAAACACCAGGGTACAGAAAATAACGCCACTCCCCAGGAAAGACACATGAAACAGGTTAGTATCCATCTCACTAAGCTAAGGTTGCAAGATAACAAGAAGCTCCATTTTAAAGGCACTTCAGATTTTGGAAATGAGTGGCGGCAGTAATGGACTCTTATCATGGGATATGTTAATGGAGTTCTTTGCAATATGACCATCAACACAAGAGCCAATGTTACCATCATGCAAAATGATTTGGCTCGACAACTGAAAGATAACTCATCTGGATGCTGCCCTGCCTTACCCTTCAGACTGTATCCTGGGGTAAAATCAAAATTGGTGGACAATTAGACATTAGCATCACATCTGAGAGTGCCGCCTATCATAATACAGCATATGTAGCAAATATTATGGACCCTTACATACCTGAGTTAGACTTTCTATGGAAATATAATTTTGCCTTTAAAAATAACAAACTGCATTCTGCTTCTGAAGACATAACCCTATTTGGAAATAATGACGAAGGCATAAAATCTGTTACCAAACCATAGCTCAAGATGATATCACAGTACCAGCAGGAACAGAATTTTTAAATCCTGGATCCATAGCCAAAAAACAGAAATTTCTGGTATGGCATTACGGAATATCACAGTAACACCCTGCAAAGAGTCCATTCCAATGGCAGCTGATAGTAGTCTCAGCACTCATTGAATTAGAGAGGACAATTACCCCTGTGAGGGTTGCCAGTGTAACTCATAAAACAAAAGTCGTTAGGAAAGGTGAAGTAGCTGCAGCATGTACTCCAGTAGCCTGTGCTAAACGAAACAATAACCCTCCAGAATCCGTCTTTGGAGAGCCTAACATTGGAGTTATCGCAGAATGCACAAGTATTTGATGAAGAGAGAAATGTAGCACATTATGTCATTCAAGAATTTCTAGATGTTTTCTCCCACTCATCTTCTGATGCAGGAGGACCCAGTTTGACACAGCATAGAATTGAGACGGGATCATCCAAACATCTAAGACATCTACAGATAGCTAAACAGAAAAAGGTAGGAAAACTTCTAAAGGACATGCAAGAAAGCGACATGACCAAGCCTTCAGCTTCTCCATGGGACTTTTCTATCATCTAGGTCAAAAGAAAAGATGGCTCAACTAAATTTTGCATTGACTATCACCAGCTGAATGAGACTGTGAAGAAAGACAGCTACTTTCTTTCTAGAACTAGAATCCAGAAAAAGCGTCAATGGTTAAGACTGGAGACATCCCGAAAATATCCATCAGCAGAGAAGTGTCCAAGGGCTTTGTACCTACTATAGGAGTTTTGTGAAGGACTTTTCTTCCATCACAAGAACTGATCTTCGCCTACCTTGTGATCTATTATTTCGTCACCCTTCATTGCCTGAGCAATTATTTGATATATTTTTAAGCAAAATCAAATCTGAGTACATGGGAAGTAGAATGACACAAAAGACTAGTATTTCTTGAAAAAAGGAAGTATTTAATAGCTAATGTTTCTTGTTTTCTCAATTTATTGATTGATTCTTGTATGATTCTTGGTGGGCTGCAGTTTTGAAAGCTACTGTCTTTTGCGCATTAGCTTGCTGAAAAAATAATTAGAACTAGTTCAAAATGCTCTCCATGAGTTCATAACTTTTTGGTTGGGGGAATCAGAAAGTACTCTTAATATTTTTGTAAATAATGCTGTGTTTTATAAAATGAAATAAAAATATGTTTTAGAGTTATACATGTTTTAACTTTCAAATCCCCGACTTCCATCAAAAAAATTCTCATCTACAGCTACTGAATTAATTACTCAACTAAAATGGCAGTTACTTTACTCATATTTTCTTTCTCATTAATCATGAAGCCTGTTGTTACCTGCAATTTTAATTAGACTTTTTATTATATTTCTACCTATTTTCAGAATAAGGAGTTAGATGTTAACATGTCAAACAAAAATACATATAAATAACTGCAACTACACAAATGTAAAACATTTCTTTTATGTAATCATATCTTGAATGTACAGCTACATAACATTAAAATAAATTTTAACCTCAATTTCAACGAAATTTCAAAATTCTCCCTCCCTGCCTTATAAAAGTCAAGAAACAGCTGAATTATTATGCATGATATAAATACATAATCTTTACGTTATTCCAAATTTAAAGCAAATAAATTTCCAGAAAAAGAAAATCCAGAAAATTTAAATTTAAAGTAGGTCACTAGTTGCTGACATACACAAATTTGTGGTAAGGAATGCTAAACAAACTTTAAACAAATAAAGATTTTAATGAAAGAATCGTAACTTCTGATGCAGCAAAATAACAAATAAGCCAAAATCTTACAAAAACTATATCGTTAACTAAGAATCAAGAATTTTAAAATAATCATGAGCATTATAACAAAGTAAAAACAAAATATTACAGTATAATCCAATAAACTTGTTTCTCGATTATTATTGAACATTATGTATAACAAAACAATGACACTTTTTTTAATTGCTAAAATCTGCTGTTCAAGCAACGCATTATCTTTGCATGTATGTGCATTTATGTGCATGCTACCCAGATGAGAAAGTGGTTAGTGACTCTGTACTTCAAAGGTCCAGGTTCAAATCCTGATCGTCTGTTGGCAACATTGAACCACCTGGTTAGGTGCCTCCGTAATAAAGTGACCACCACTTCCACGCATTGTAGCGGCCAACACCTATAATGTGCATGCCACTGGATTAAAAATATATATTTAGATGTATAAATTCTCTATGTATTTTCCTGTTCTGTTCAGATTTCTTACAATATTCTACTTTTGCAATCTTTCGCTTTCCCTTTGTGACACTCTTTCTAGGTACCTGTATAATGAATATGGTGGCAGACTTTATTCGTTATGTGAACATTCCAATCTACCCCACTTCTCTTCTTACTGATATAATGGATGAGGAAAGTCAAATAACCACTGCTGATTACCTTTCATATTTTTCCTTTCTGTTGCTAGCTGTTATCACGTTTATGGCTGTATTGTAAATTTTTATTCCATTCTGGGTAGAGTTTCTCAGTTTATATCTGAGCTTATAAGTGTTGTGTTATATTGCCCATCTGTGCCAGCCTCCCAGCCGGTATAGTGGTTAGCTATGATGACTGTCATACAGATAGGCCCTGGTTCAAATTATGGGAAATGCACTGATGTTCGCAAGAACACAGTGTCTGCCTCTCAAAATATACAATGAGCAAAAATCAACTCAACAGGTTGGTGGAGGGGAAGAGTAGGAAAAATGCACAGTTAGTGTGGTGGAACTGCACCTGTATGACCAATGGCAAAATTATGATGTCTTGCCTACCTATACATATACCTGCCTATCGGTGTAACAAGGAAGCACTTAAAGTACACAGCAAGCCAAAATCCTCTTGAGAGGTTGATAGTATAAAAAGAGGGATAGGAGGTTTTCAGACCACACACCTGGGTGTTCTCCCTCAATTCTGGGATGGAAATTTAGCAGCTAGGAAGACCCAGCAATATCCTAATATGCCTACCTGGATGCACAGGTACCAGCCCTGCTTCAACCTGTCTGTATAAGTGAAAATGTCAAATTAAAAGAAAGAAAAAACTAACATAACAATAGAAATGAAACTGGATGCCTTAAAAAAGAGAAAACTATTAATAAAATTGCCATTGATTTAGGTATTGGATGACATATGAGACATGCTGGATGAGATCTGAATTAACTCACCCCTTCTTCTATAAAACTCAACATTTTTGGATTCCACTTTCTCTTAATCCACATTAGGTTTGAGTTTATGGGGCTTTACTGTCAAACTAATAAAGACTAATTTTATACAATTTCCTTCTTCTAAATAGAAATTTTAAGCTATTTAAAAACATCATAAATGCTCTGATTAAAAACATGTTAAATCAATATATTAATTGGTACTTTTGTGTTATCTGTCCAGTGGAGAGAAGAAGCAAAGTGCTATGTCACCAAAGTAGGCAACCCAGAATATAACAAACATGTATTTTATCTCGCAACCCACTAATGGTTGCCAGTGCATTGTGCCAGCATGTTATGGGTGTCATTTTGGAATTCCCATGAAGCAATGATCAAACTGTATGAAAACGTACTTTTAAAGATTGCCAGCAAAATGCTTGAATGCGAGTAAGAAATTGTTTTGATAATAGCCAAAATTGTTTATGGCAGCTCTTTGCTTTATTGCTGGTCTAAAGAATATTCATCTTGTATGTTCTATCATTCTTGCAGATCTTATTGCCTCGATATGTCTCTGAATACAACTACCAATTGAAGCAATTATCTGCAAGAAATATGCATGTCTAACATGGGAAAAAATGTCAAAAAACTGGTTTTCCAAAATAAAAGCACATCAATATGTACATAGAGAGCAGTACTTAAGCTGCTGTAAGTAAAAAGAATTCTGGAATTCTCAGATTTGGAGCACCGCCAGTTTGTTCTGAAATTCTCTTTGATATTTTAAATTGAAACAGATTACTATGCACATGGACCAAGAAAATAAAAAGTTAAATGCTTTATAGTGGATGTTTGTTGCATTTTTAATTTAGTTAATTGTTTAGTTTATGCTAATTAGTTTAGTTACAGTTTTATGAAATTTTGAGTGTTTCATTGTGGGTGTTTGTTTTATGTAATTTTTAGTTTCATTATGGGTGTTTCATGCTCTTTTAATTTTGTTTAATTTGTTGATGTTTTATGTAAATTTCAGTGCACTGCCATTTTTTTAAAACATATACATTATGCCATTTTACTGTTTTTCACATGTTAAGATTGGCAAAAAGTAATTGACAATGACTGGTGACTTTGTGGGAACACTAGGCGGATAACACGAAAGTAACTATTTAACTTTAATTTTTTTTTTTTTTTTTACATGAGAATACTGCTGAATTAATTGCTAATACAATGTTTTACTATTTTCCCTCCACAGAATATATGGATTAAAAAATATGCTGGTGGAAATTAACCCTTTCAGGACGGGCATCCCATATATGCATTCCCTAAGAACGTCTCTTACAGCCGGGCGTCCCATCCACGCATCACTAGAGATTGCATTTAGAGGACGGGTGATGCATATGCGCATTTTAAGCTGGAATATTTTTCTGAAGGCCACTAGATGGCATCCTATGCCCATTACTTTTTAAATGAACACAGTTTTAAGTTCCTGACCTTGAGTTTGATATATTCTGCTTGACTTTGGTATTTTACTCATCAGCTCTTGCGAGGGGGAGGGAAAATGTAAACAGAGGTGAGCTCTTTAAATCGCTGGGTGCTAATGAAAACATTCACGTGTCTGATTTATATCCAATTTCTTTTTTTATTCTATTTTTTCCTTTACTATATACGGTCTTTTAGTGTTAGTATGTGGAGTATTGTTATGTTTTGCATTGCCCTTCAGATATACTTCCGTTTCCACTCTTTTTATTTCGGAAAACCTCACCTCCAGTCTATTATAGCGGAAAGGTGCTATTTATCAGAGGAAGAATACCCTCGTATGGTCAATGAACCATTTATTAACGCAGATAAGAGTGATGATTCATTTTCTAAAGAGTTAGAAAGTGATACTTTTTCTAAGAGTTAGAAAGTGATACTTCTCCGTACTTCTAGATTTACCACAGCCTTCATTTTAAATTGTGTTACTTCTTACTGTAAATAGTCTTTATTGTGTTGTTTTATTAATTTAAAACTTTATTGATGGATTTTTATCAATTAAAACTTTGGAATAATTTGAATAGCGCTTCCGAAAATTATTTTACAAGACAAGCAATTTTTTAAGTATATTTTCATGTAATATAAAGAAAAAAACGTTATTAAGTGCTAATTTTAACATATATAACAGCTCAAGTAATAATCTAAAAGAATACAAAAAATTACAATGCTAGAAGCAAATCTTTTTCTTTTTCTTTTTTTTTTTTTTTTTTTTTTTCTGATCTTTTTTTATAAAATTAGGCTTAGCGATGCAAAACCTCCGTCCTGTACGGTGACTGCCTTCGATTCCCTTCCGTCCTGCACGAGCGTCTTGAACAAAGGTGCGCCATCGCGAAAAGGTTAATAATGAATACTAAATATATTTAATTATATGAAAAAATATAAAATAGTAGTACAAAGTTTGAGATCTGGGATTATCGAAATTTTGGTTATCAAGAATTTTGGAAATTTTTAGATTTTAGATCATAAATTTAATAAGATGACATGCAAAAATGGCAACATTGGGGCTTTGTTTATTGTTTAGATTAGACAGTGGAATGCTAATCCAAAAAGAAAAAAAGAATTTCAAGGAGCACTAAGCAGAAAAATTGAAAATGGCCAGATTTTTAAAATTTAAAGAAAGGCACTCAGCAGCATAATTTAGGAGCTGCAAATATTTTTGACTTTAGGAAGGTACCAGCCAGCAGAATTTAATAACCGCAAAGACTGCTACAGGCAGCAAAATGCACAGCACCGGCCGTGCCCTTCTCCAAAACACTCAGAGCCCAAAAGTATGACCCTGGCCCATATCAATACAATGTAGCAACTCCCCAATAAGTGTTTGAAAGAGGCATGCAGGAATCTCAGTTAGTCCGAAGAGATAAATCACATTTACAGCACACCTCCTTCCTTTTGCTATGTATCCTCCATTCCTATGGAGAATTCTTAGCAAAAGAGTATGGAATTCTCCCTTTCTAATTTTAAAGATATTATTTATTTATTACTGGTTGTTTGGAGGTCCAGATTTCAGATCATTTCAGATATTGGACATCCAGACCTCAGACTTTGTACTACAATAACTGATATAACAGGTAAATTACAGAAGTAAAATTTCATTCAAAAGTCATACTTTTAAATGGTTTATACACAATTTGGATTTTAAAAATTTTGACATATTCTTACCCTGAGTATCATTTACATCAGTTGACACAGAACTAGGATCTTCTTTTTCTTTATGTACACTTGAATCATTTCTACTTAAAACTCCATACCTAAAGATTTTAAAAAATTACACATAAGTTCTACTTACAAGAAAGAAAAGCTACTTACTGCAGGGAAAGGGAATATCAGCATTCCAATTTGTACCAATCAGAATTCTAACAAATATTGTTGGCAGTTCTTTACGAGAACAAAAAATAATAATAATAATAAAAATAAGTGAATTTTCAGTTGAGGATGCAACAAGGATTTCTTAGAAAATTTTGGCAGCAAATTATAAACATTAGCATGCCAAAATATATTAGCCTACAAATTTAAGTACCATTAATCAGCGTTTTAAATGAGTCAAAATACTTGCATACAAGTAAGTTTCTACCACGAAGAAAAAAAAAAAAAAAAAAAAAAAACTAATTAGTGGAATTATATCTTAAAGATAATATTTTTCAATTACTTCAGTAAAAAAACATAAAATTATTTATTTGCAATATTTAGTTATTATGCTACTATTTGGTTTTGAGGACCGTAAAAAATCGCCAAACTATTGTTCATGCCAGTGCTGCCAAAAATAATTGCGGCAACCCTGATGCAAGAAAGGAAGTATAACAGTAATTAACTATCAAAAGTTTATCGTTTTAATTTAGATGAAAGGTTAATTTCACATAATACTTTTTTAATTATTATAATTTATATAAAAAAGGCTAAACATGACTGAATGGAAGCATAAGAGTAAATAACTATTTCAGATCATTATTATAATTTATATAAAAAAAGCTAAACATAATTGAATCGATGCCTGCATCACTATTTCACTACCGAGTTATCGCTAAAGCATCATTTCATCTCATTGGTTGTTCAAGCATAATTTTTTATAATGAATGATGCCTTTTCTTTGACAAAATTCGCAGTAAAGTGCAGCATCGCCCACTTATTTGTTTCGTGCTTTTCATAAGGGTAAAAACAATTGGATCTGTGTCAATTTTCTTTTAGGTTTTAAGTGAAAATAAGTTGATGTATACATAAATAAAGTCAAGGATGTGCGCAGTGCCATTTTTGTGCAATTCTGGGATTTTTTTTTTTTTTTTTAAAGTAAAAATAGGTCAATGTGTACATTGATACCGAGTATGTGCAATTCTTAGAAACGCGTTCTTTTGTTAAATCAATAAGGATATCAAAAAAGGATTTAAAATCAAAAAAGGATTTAAAAATTAAACTAGTATTTCAATGGCGCCTTAAGAAATATAGAACTATCTAAACTTACGCAATTTGAAATCAGTGCGTACACTAGATTTGGCGCGCTGTTAAATGGCGCGTTTGCTAGATTTGGCGCTTTTGCGCAAACATTTTCGCTGCAATTTTTTATCGTCCTCAAAACGGAATAGTACCGTTATTATATATACAAGGAAAAACATCTATTCCACTTTTAAAAGCTATCCTACCTGGCAAAGAAGTAAACTGCCAGAATACATACTTATAGATATCTCTTCTTGGTTCTTCAAGTTATCTACTCCCAGATTCCTCTAATGTCCTTTAATATGTCCATACATTTGGTGCTGTTTACCAAATGTAAGGTATTAAAATTGCAAGAACTTAATTATGTATCACTAAAACACTTCTGCATTTCTTTCTTATTCTCGTAATACTTCAAACAAAATTTTCCAAAAAACCCAATTAAAATATCCCTACTAATTATTCAAATCATGCAAAACAATATAGCATATGCTAAAGAAATATTGTTTGCTACATCATATATTTTTTCCTACTACTTCTAAACTGAAAAGTCATTAAAAATATAGGAATTTTATTTTATACTACATTAATATTCCAGTAATCCGTACTCCTCCAAGGGTTATGCAGATTTATAGGTCATGTCTGCACTTGCTTTCTTTACATTTTTTCTTTTGTAATTTTTAGCCAAGATTTGGATTGATTACACAAATAACCAGCAGAACCTTACTTTAAGAGTTATTTAATCAGAATTTATTGAATACAAAAATTATTGGCCCACGACCAAAATTACTGTCTCAATTATTGGTCAACGCATGACGGTATTTCTAGACAAAGCTATTTTATCCAATGTTTATATGACTGACATTTTGGGCAAATATTAAAAAGCTAATTTTTATTATCTTCTCTCAATCAGAATAGTTTTTTCCCTTGCGTGTTAACAGACGGAAAGTTCATAAGAGGTCTTCGGCATAGTTTCCATTTTGTCATTTCTCTTCATAAGGATTGCAGGTCAGCTAAAGATTTCCTTTTTTTATTGATAAATTCCATTCATAAGTGTGATCAGACAGAATACTTCCTGTTAAAATCACCATGCAGTTGTTTGAAATGTCGGATCAAGTTAATTTTTTCAGCACTGCTTAAAAAAATTTCATACATCAAACAAAGCGTCTTGGAAATATTTTGATGCATAAACAAAAACTCTTCTCATAAGACAGTTTTAAAATCAAAAATTGCAATATCCATTTCATATTTTCTTTTTGATATCGTGGATACAGTGAAAATAAAAATTTTAAAACAACGATGCTTGTTGCCAAAATTTGAAAAAAAAAAAAAAAAAAAAAAAACAGTTTTAAAAAAGCTTAACATCTTCCTTGTCAGTTTAAAATCAACCCAGACAGCTAGAGGGTCGTACTCGCTTTTGCTTGACAACAGACAACTATAGCAAGACACAATGGTGCCAAAACAAGGCAACTCAAACTACTGGGAAGTCCTATGACCCCACTGGTATATTGCATCGTTACTCTGGTGTCCAATTTTTTCAATTTTTCAATAAGTCTTTGCATGCCACTGTTAAAACTCCGCTGTGCCACAATATGGAATGCAAGCCGCAAGTTGGCCATCCATGCTTTAACACTAGCATAAAAGCAAAGGCTCTAGAGCAAAGGATGAAACAAAATCCAGAAAAATATAAACAAGACAAAAACAAAAAAAAATTTGAAAGAAAATGATGGATTGGTAATTTGATGCATTGGTAAGAAATTCGATCAATTTTGTATGGTAACAGGCTTTATAATTTTTCTTGCAATTTACGTATTCAGTTATAGAACAAGTGCATAACCAATTATGTTTTCATTTACCTTAACACTTGCTTTCATTTTTAAAAGAAATTAACCACTTTGGGAAAAAAAACTAAAATCTAAGCATTTGGTGAAAATGGCTCTATTATATTTTTTAATACATTTATATACAAAGAAAATATCGATATGAGAGGGAAGGGCTTGGAGAAAAGGAGATTAATGATACATCACTCTCTCGCTCTTTTTTTTTTTTTGAGGGGGGGGGGACCTTTTTTATAAAACACACTGGAATATTTTATGTAAAAGAAAAATGATAGCTACCTGCAAAACCAGTTAACAACTATTATACTCTTACACACGTACACCAAAAAATATATATATATAGGTTAATAAATAAAAACACTGTTCACAAAAACCTCAGCGGCAGTTTTCTAAATTGAATTCATATGCTAAATCAGCCATTACATGTTCTGTGCATATATTGTTGGATTAAAAAAGTCATACAATGTTATCCTGCTTTTGACTTTTTATGCCATATATCTATCTATAAAAATCTAAATAAGTCTGCATTTGTTAGATGGAATGTAAACAAACCAGTTTCGAAAATCATTCCATCTGAAATTCACCATCTACAATAAAATTATATAACAGTTACATTCTTTACATATGTAACCAGATAAATCCAAATATAATGATTTATCCACAATAAAAAATTTGCAATTTCATGATGACTGACTACAAAAACTGTTATGCAGAAATGTTACAACTTCAATAATGAAAAACAAATAACATTTAAATCAATATATGCTACAGATATAATGTACTTTCATTAAAAAGTCTATATGTATATTTATGTTTAAGAGCATTATCATTTATATTAAATTTACAGTGCTGATTTTTCTAAAAATTGAACTTTAGTTTGTTTACATTCAAAAATGAGCATAGAGTACACATGTTTGTAAATAGAGCAGTCGTTGATTATTAGAATTCCTCTTCAGTTCATTTTACATTAGTACTTACAGAAACAGTTTGCCTTATTTTTTTTACACATTCTAATTATGCAATATATTTAGTCCACCTCTCCACAAACATGCACAGATACAACAGAAAAAATTTCTAATGTAGTCTTTGTTCTGCACTGCACTTTTATCAATTCACTGCTATCCATTAGTTTCAGATCCAACAAATAGTTTTTCAAAGATGCCAAGTTAAAACTGCATTGCAAGCATTTCAACACTTCAAATTCTACAAAACATGCATATCAACTTTCAGCACATCCAAACACAGTAAATCCTCGTCAATGAGAATCCTAGGGGCTAAAAATTCAAAAGTTTGTGTTATATGGGGGACACAAATTTTATTTTTGGAATAGCTTTTTATCATTTCCTGATGAAAAATTCCTGTCTAATGTGCTATTGCTAAAAGGATAAAAAATGCCTGGGAACTTCAACTGTACTGATGACTTCCATAAAACTAGTGATCAGTTCAGATGTTACAGCAAAACATTTGAAAGTGTCCAAAGGCATGCAGCACTTCCTGGTAGTTGACAGAACGATAATGTCCTCTTCACTTTCTTTTCTTGCATCTTAGCCTACACTGGAGCTTATACGGCATTTTTTTTTTTTTTTTTTTAATATTAGTATGTGAGTAAGAGCATAATAGTTGTTAAGTGGTTTTGCATGTCGCTGTACCATTTTGCTCTTAAATAAAATATTCTGATGCGTTTTACAATTTTTTTTTTTTTTTTTTTTTTTAATCCTGCATCAATCATCCCCTTTTCTATCAGCATTTTCCTTCCACATCTGCACTGACAAACTCCTCAAAACTAACACCAGGGTTCACAGTGTCTTACATAACATTCCATTCGTCAGGTGAAGTGTTATTGTTGTCACCATATAACTTATCAACAGGATTGGAATCTGTCTCCAAGCTCTGCTTAAACAGTTCTGTGTTGTGATGACATGGATTTCCAGGATGTAGTGGTAGCTTTTATTGCATTCAGCACACTCCAAGTTGGGCAGTATCTTTGAACCCTTCCAAATTAATAAAATATTTTCTTTAATTAATGACATTAATTTTTCAATGCTTTCAAAATTCCAATATCTTAATTTTTTTGCATTCCATTACTATTTTCCTTGACAGATGATGTTACATTTGTTTTTTCTTTGCTATGTTCATTTCTTTCCATACAAAATTGTTTCACTCCTCTATGTCCATGTCAGTTAAATGTTCTATCAGCTAAATGTCTATGTCACCTAAATGATTTGTCAGCTAAGTGTCTCTGCCCTATAATAATAGTTTAATTGCAAAAAATATGATGCCAATAAACAATTAACTGAAATTTAACTGACTGATTTTCCAAATAAAACTGCTGGCATACATAAAACATACAATTAGCTGTTTCTTAAATCAAAAACAAATGACAAAATTATAAGCCTTTCCTTACACCAATATATTTAAAACCGTGATCAGAAATTTTATTTTGTGATACAATTCAGACTGGCTTTTCATACATTTAATATAGATACAGTTTTTCCATATCTATTCTTGTTTGCTGAAACTATTACCTTTCTTGTCACATTTCTATGCTACTATTTAACAAAATAAAACAAAAAAACCTTTTCATTAAAACATGTAAACAATAACAGTTAAAAATATGTTAACATACTTCACAGTGTTTCACAGATATTATCTAAATTTCATTATAAATACCTACTAGTGATTAATTTTCTATGGTTCAGAAACCTCAATTAAACCTGCAGCTATTTTCATAAAAATTTCTAAAAACATTTTCTGACAATCTTAATTATCGCCCTTAACATTCATATTTTAACATCTGCTCTAACAAAACCACATTTAAACATTGCACAGTTACATTCAGCTACATCATTGTCAAGTTTTAATGCATTCAGTATCTTGGATCTGATTTTTAAAAGCCTTTCGATGTGTGATCTCCATAGTAACTGTAGTAACCTTTACTATAATTACCGTAAAATAATTATGTCATGTTACAAACTACCTACACTTTTAATTTACTAAAACACTCATTATTCAATACACTGCAGCAGAAACGTACGATTCCATACCAACATCTATACATACGTAACTTATTCTATATTATGTAGGTAAACATAAAATTTAGTAACAAAAACAGTTTTAGAAAAAGAATATTAATTTATTTCTGGCAAGGGATATTCCAGAACTTATTAGCGATGGATCGCTTTCCAAAAAATTCAAACATTAAAGGAATAACTCGGACGATTTTAGACTCGCATTTAAAACGGAACTACATATCCCTTTAATATTTATGAAAATACAATTAGATACTCAAAGTTTATGCAAAGATTGCTAAACTAACATTTTTAGATCACCTTAATTTGAATGTAAAACAAAAATTCTGTATCTGAAAATTAACTTCACTCAGTCTAATACTGCTGTAAACAAATGCATGCTGAATGACGCTAACATTCAGAAACCACTGAACACTGAACAGAATTTTGTAAAAGATTTTCATCCTTTATTACTATTTACGCTTTATAAATAAGTTTCTACTAAATTTGTTAGTCTGAAAAACACAATTAACAATATGCATAAGTTACTCAATTTACAATTTGAACATTTGGGACATGCTTTACAACATAATATAAGGCTGTCATTTAAATATCCCTTACAGGTTAACACTTACCACTAGCTTATGTTTCATACATATATGAATGTGAAAGGTGTTTAGATACAAGTATTTACATTGCATATGGCAAGGATCAAAAGATTTAGCTACTAACCTGATAAAAATTCCGCATGATACGTAAACAGTAGTACAAACAAATCATTGTAAGGAAGTTGAAAACATACTTATCCGTTAAGCTTGGAGAAGGCAAGTCCATCCTTATGATCTGCAGACAAATACAACACTTCTGTGCCTACATCACAATTTTTATTTCGCAAAATAAACAACAATGTTGGTAAACAACGCCTTCGAAACGGCAGCTAATCACAACTAATATGGCTGACATTAACTTTTTGAGGAATCCTGGGAAAAAGGTCACAGATATAGGCAGGCAACAGAATTCAGGTCCAGTAGTAGTAGTTTGAAATCAACTGAAAATATTCAAAGTATGTAAAGTAAAAAATTATAAACAATTGAAATCCATTACTAATATCGGTCTATTACCGACAATAACATTTCATTCACAGTACAATTCGTTTAAGATGTAACTGTATCCGTATTAAAATAAAGCAGAAAAAAAGCCACACGTGTTTGTTTTTATTTCTCCCTTTCTTTCGTCTCTTAATTTTCATTGATCTAGGCTTCTCAGCCTTTTCATGGGTTTAAATAATCTTTCCTTTTCCTTAATCACTATTTTTCTTCTATATGTAATCTAGCAGTAATCTCAGAAAATATGAAATAAAAATTTACCTAATAAATAGTTCGTGGTCGAAGATTTATACCCAGCACCGATGTAAAGTATATTTAGTTCTAGTATGCATTAGTTATAGTTTTCTAGTTACTTTAGTTTAGTTCTTCTTTCATTTGATTAAGCATACGACCGGATTATGTCAAAAGAGAGCCAGATCTTCCTAAGACGGCGAATTACGACTGTATATGATTTGGGTCTTCTGTGGAGATAATCGGTCTGTGGAATTGACGATAAGTACCGTTGTTTAGTTACGAGTATCTAGTTGTGAGCTGGTTATTTTTCATTGGTAGTTTTCATGAGATAGTTCACTATATATGTTTTGTTTCCTAATTCGCCTTGAAATATTCACAAAATTTGTGTTGCAGCAGTAACATATTTTCTGTAAAATATCTAAAAATATACGCCCTTAATTTTTTTTATTTATTGAGATTTTTTTATTTTCTTTAAAAGTTAATAATTTAAATTTTGATTATGTGACAATACTGATAATATTTATTTACAAAAGATTCATGAGTTTCTCATATCTGGCCTAGAACGGAATGTTTGGGATTTAGAAAAATGTTCTGGCTAAGGTCGTTACTACAAGGAGGTATTCTAACTTACTTGGATAATAAGTCTTCTTGTCAAAAACATTGTCAGAAGCTACGATGAATGCTCTTTAATAAAGTTGTTCTTATGTGTTTCTTTTTAATGTTTGTTTCCGAAATATTTGGAATTTTTTTAAAAAAGAGCTTCATAGAACACCATCATATGATGGAAGAGTGTGGTTTTCCTCTCAGATAATAAATTGTCAAGAGATAGAACATCGCCTAATTTTTTAAGGTGTATCTTATTTATATACTATGTTGTAAAATTTAATAAGAAATGAAGCCAAATGTAGCATCTAATATCACAAATTCGATTCCCATATAAAAATTACCTTATACGGGTAAACAAAATTCAAAGTGAACTAAAAAGGTGTACAAATAAAAGGAGATGAACCACGGAAATTATATAAAAGAGGTTAGTTTAGGTTATTTGAAATCGGCAAAGCATACAAAGGCTATCTAGATGGGAACCTAAGGAGAATGAACCCTGTCCATTAGGGTTTTCTATGGGAAACTAGCTCGTATTCCTTTTACACATGGGGAACACAAAACATGCATTTATCCCGCTAACCTGGAATTGACCTGGGTGCGTTGAGAACTGTCAACGCACCCTTAGTTTTTTATTTAATTGAGCGGTCTTAATCAATCGGTCATTGGTGGTGCTTAGTATAAAATAGAGCATAGGGGAAGGACAATTTTGAAGATCTGATGTGACAATAATGCATTCCCAAGAAATGTAATGAATCAAACTATGACAGCCTCAAAAGACTTAAAATATGCCTGTAAAAGGAATGGGGGCAAATAATAAAATGATGACCAAAACTAACAGCTGGAAAATATAAAGAGTTTTTACTGGTCAGATTCTAAGGACTTTCTCTATATTGGATGAAAAAAGAATGCATATGTATATAATCGAAATATTGTATATAATCGAGTATTATATTTGTATATAATCGCTATATTTGTATATAATCGAGTAAAAGAAATAAGAAGTTTATCGTCGGCGATTCATTGTGACATGTTCCGGGAATCCAGAACCCTGGGTTCTACTATTTACAGGGTGTGCACTATAATCTATTGGGAAATCGCAGTGGTAGTTGGGTCTTGATTAGTTACTGAAACCAGAAGAATAATAGACTAAAATTAATATCTTGCTCTATATGGAAATTGTGAATTCTGGAAGGAAATAAATGAGCCTCAAATATTTTTAACACAATGACGAGCACTTGCCTATTGAGCATTGGTGACTTCTAAGGTGGCCATTTTATTGTAGTGGCACCCAATAAATGGTTACCGTAGCCCATTGCCGTAGCCTCTTATGAATGGGCGGACAGTTACAGTTCGGTACAGTCGGCCACAAAAGTATTCGAACACCGGTACCCATTCAGAAAATTTACTTTTCCGTTGAGAAACAAAATTGTCTCCAGAGTCCATCTTGGTTCGATAGAAAAAAAAACAAAAGGATGGCTCATGTCCAAAATTGGCTAGGTGCATGAAACAAAATACAACATGACCTATCTGGGTGAGATGGGAAACAAAATGGCTGCTCACGTGATCCATTATTGCGCTCATAGAAAACGCAAAGTGTCGCTGCGGCTCGTCTCGGTTCGCGAAGAGTGAAAACCCAAAACGGTCTGCAGTGTCTATCTTTGTTGGATGAGAAAACAAAAGGATGGCTCATGTCCAATTTATTTAGGTGTGGGAAAAATATAACGTGACCTATCTGGATGAGATGTCTCCAGCGATCCAGTATAGACTTTTTCCCCATCTGCAATAGGTGACATCTATAAACAATTCCATTGAAATCTCCTCGAAATATAAGAAACAGCTAGCTCGTGAAATTGTAAGGTATTCCCAAAGAATTCCACTTCTTGAAGAAGGAAAAACATCCTAGCTGCAGATGAGGTAGAGAGAGAAAAAGCATGTTGCACCATGGAGAGCCCGCACGGTTCTGAACAGAAAACGTGGAATGCTTTTTATAGAAAAGAGTTGAAAGTGAAAGTAAAAGCCGATTGGAAATTTTTCAATTGGTTGCCGACTGGGAAAAAATTTTCAGAGCTCAGAAAAAAAAAATCTGAGATGTAAAAAAAAAAAAAAAAAAAAAAAAAAAAACTTTTTGTTAATTTTTATCATGTCTTCTAGACATGATAAAAATTAACCCTACCCCCCTTTTTGTGTGGGAATGTTGTCTCACTGTTTCTAAAAATAGACCATGACTCATTCTAGGAATTATATGTTTTAAAAAGGATGAGTTTAAAGTTTATAAGATATCAGTTTTTAAAAAGGATATGTTTTAAAAAGTCTTTGGGTTTCTCCATTCCAAAGTAAACAAAGTGAAGACATCAAATTAATAGAAAAAAAGGAAAGAGTTTTTTTTTTTTTTTTTTTTTTCAGCTCTGGAAATATTTTTTCCCATTCAACAGCCAATAACAATTTCATTTTTACTTTCACTTTCAATTCATTTCTTATATCTATAAGAACATTTCATGTTTCTGTTCAGATCAGTGTGGGTTGTTCAAGATGCAGCAAACTCTACTCCATCCCACAACCAGGAAAAAAAGATGTTCTTTCATGAGGAATTTTTTTGGCTTTCGAAAACAATGATGACATGATGATTGTAATACATTTCTGTTCTCATGTCCCATGCTTGAACTCAGAATTATTTCCAGAACTCTGAGAATTTTTCCTAGTCAGCTCGATAACCCAAATTTCGTATATTTATTTTTTAAGCCACTCGAGTTTCGACTTCCCATCCGTGTGTGCTGTGCATTCAACCTAGACACACATTCCCTGAGCTCTAAGAAAATGTTTCCCAGCCCACTCAATCGCTGAAATGGATTAAAAAAAATTCTTTCATACATTTTTAAAGCTCAAGCGTGTTAGCTGTCATGGAAAGAACCTTTTTTCCCCTGAGCTCTAAGAAAATGTTTCCCAGCCCACTCAATCGCTGAAATGGATTAAAAATAAATTCGTTCCTATATTTTTAAAGCTCAAGCATGTTAGCTCTCATGAAAAGGGCCTTTTTTTCCCAGCCCACTCAATAGCTGAAATGAATTAAAAAGAAATTCTTTCATACATTTTTAAACCTCAAGAGTGTTAGTTCTCATGGAAAGAGCCTTTTTTTCCCCTGAGCTCTAAGAAAATGTTTCCCAGCAGACTCAATCGCTGAAATGGATTAAAAACAAATTCTTTCATACATTTTTAAAGCTCAAGCGTGTTAGCTGTCATGGAAAGGGCCTTTTTTTTCCCCAGCCCACTCAATCGCTGAAATGGATTAAAAATAACTTCTTTTATACATTTTTAAAGCTCAAGCGTGTTAGCTGTCATAGAAACTGAAATTTATGTCATGGTTTGTGTCTCACACACGTCGTCAACGGTATGGTTTGAGGTGAAAATTGAAAACCCGGTATGAAAAATCTCTTTAAGTTCACTTTAGAAGAAGCTGTGGGATAGAGAGATTTCGTCATGGAAAAATGTCTTTCAATGTCTTTCAATGTCAGTCATGGGAAAATGTCTTTCAATGTCCGTCATGGAAAAATGTCTTTCAATATCATGACATCTCCTTTCAAATAGGATTGAAGGATTTTTCTTAAACTATGTTGAAATCTTGATCCATCCAAATTACAGATGGGAAATTCTGATCCATGGATGGATCATCCAATTTCGCTAGAACCTGATAAACGGTTGCTGATGAAATCCAAACGAGAGGCCCTAGCTTTTCAAACAGGAAACATTTTCCCCTAAACGTATTAATGATTTCTATTCTGTGAGACATTAAAAAGTGGAAAGAAACTTGTGTTCACAGAAGCTCTTTCTAGAAGAGTGGTCCTGGGTCCAGATGAGATAGAGAAAGAGAAAAAGCATGCTGCACCTTGGATAGCCCGCACGGTTCTGAATAGAAAACGTGGAATACTTTTATAGAAAAGCGATGAAAGTGAAAGTAAAAGCCAAATCGTCTTGGCTGGTAGAATTTTCACTTGGTTGCCGACTGGGAAAAATTTTTCAGAGCTCAG